GTTGGAAGTGGCAATGGTGATCCAAGGTAAGAGGTCAAATAGAAGGTGGGAAAGAGATGTGGACTAGGGAGAGATTTGAGATTATTTGGCATAAAATTGATCATTTGAGGGAAAAGAAAGTTGAAGATAGAGCTTTGGGGGATACCTTCACTAAAAGGGCAAGAAGGAAAAGATGAATCAGAGCCTGGCCCAGTTTCTCCAGAGCTTGTTGTAATGAGCTCCAGAACATCCACATCCTTTGCCCGGGCCTCATTCTCATTTCAGTCAGGCTAGTGTAGACATCCCTGAAAAAATGTGAAAAATGAGAAGTCTTCCATGTCTTTATGTGGTAGTGACAATAATAAAAGCCAAGACCGATATAATACTTCAAGGTTTGCAAAGAGCTTAATGTGTTATCTCATTTGATTCTTACAGCAATCCTGTGAGGGGGTGCTATCATTTTCCTCATTTTACAGATGAGGAAACTGAACCTGAGAGAGAGAGAAAGAGAGAGAGAGAGAGAGAGTGACTTTCCCAGGGTCACACAGCTAGGCAGTTTTTTTTTTTTTAATTTGAGGTTTCAGCCTAACATTGGGAATTATTTAGTTTCATTTTTGTATACATAATATTTTCATTTTTAGAGGTAAGATTTAGGAAATTTATTTCCAAAACTAGATTTATTTGTGGGAAGGATTCCATTTTTCTAGAGACCTTTTAAGAAAAACTTTTTCAGATATTTACTCATGATCATTTTGTAGTGATGGTCTTTGTTATTTGTTAATTTTAATCCCCTGGTAAAGGGAGAAAATGTCAATCTGCAGCATTATGGTTGCAAAGAGTATGAGTTTATCAAAATGGGAAAGAAGTTTGTTGTTTTTAACTGACCATATATCTTTTTTTTGGCCAGTAAGTGAATCTAAGCCATTAGGGTAAGATTTAGTCATTGTCATAGAACCAGGTTTGAGGGAGGGGGCAAGAAACCTTGAAACTGTGAAATTTGGCCCTGGAGAACCACATACTAGTTCCTTTTTTACACCTAGAAGTAGAGTTGACCCCTGAGATTAAAAAAAACCCTGAAGTTTCAGTTTACCTCCTGTGCCCTTTCACATGACATGAAGAACTCCAGCCCCAAATACAGGACGTGTTGTTTCTGGCAACGGGAAGGATGAGAGGGAGGGGGACGGGGGAAGCAGTAAGCTTTGTAGGAGGATAGGGTGTCAGGGCTGTTTCCTGGCCAGAGACCTGTGAAACGAGACCTGTAGCTTCACCAGACAGTCCTACAAGAGAATGACTGGGCAGTGAGATCAAGTGAGGGGCCTGCCTGTGTCATACAGGTGAGTGCAGCACTGGGACTTGTCTCCCCTGCGTGTAGCATAGTGCCTGGCACATAGTAGGTGCTTAAGGGATGCTTGTTGAATCAAAACTGGATCACCGCCTTATTTGTTCTCTTGACATGGCCACGGATAGCCTAGAATTTAAAAATAAAAAGCTTAAGTATAAAATGATAAATATACAAAATAACATGTAATAAATTATAATTGTATTGAACATTATACTACATAAACAAGTAACATATTATAAATTAGAATAGAAATAGAAATTGTAATAAAATATATTAAATAAAAAGAATCAAATATGAAATCCTCTGTTTTGCTTCTAAAGTCCTTTACAACTTGGTCCAGGGCGGAGGGGAGGAACCTGAAGCTTTGAGGCTACATGTGGCCCTCTAGGTCCTCAAGTGCAGTCCTTTGAATCCAAACTTCACAGAACAATTCCCCTAATAAAAGGATTTGTTCTGTAAAACTTGGACTCAGTCAAAAGGCTACACCCAAGGACCTAGAAGACCCCATGTGCCCTCCAGATCACAGATTCCCCACCCCTGAATTGGTCCATTCTTTTTTTTTTAAAGTTCTTTTTTTGTTTTAAAATAATATTTTGTTTTTTCCAGTTACATGTAAAGACAATTTTTAACATTTATTTTTAAAAAAAATTTTGAGTTTCAGATTTTCTCCCTCCCTCCCCTCCTTTTCCCTGAAACAGCAAGCAATTTGATATAGGTTATTCATGTGTAATCATGCAAAACATATTTCCATATTAGTCACATTGTGAAAGAAGACACAGGACACTCCTCCAATTAAAAAAAACCATGAGAAAAATAAAGTGAAAGAATGCTTCAATTTGCATTCAGACTCCATCAGTTCTTTCTCTGGATGTGGATAGCATTTTTAATCATGAATCCTTTGGAATTGCCTTGGATCATTCACAGTTGGTTATCATTGCTGTTATCGTGTCCATATTGCTGTTACTGTGTACAATATCCTTCTCGTTCTTTTCACTTCACTTTGCATCAGTTCATGTAAGTCTTTCCAGGTTTTTCTGAAATCAGCTTGCTCATCATTTCTTATATCACATTACTATTTCGTCATAATCGTATACCACATCTTGTTTAGCCATTCCCCAGTTGATGGGCATCCCCTTAATTTCCAATTCTTTGCCACCACGAAAAGAACCACTATAAATATTGTTGTACAAATTTCTCTTTTTTAAAATCTCTTTGGGATATAGACATAGTAGATCAAAGGGTATGCAGTTTTATGGCCTTTTGGGCACCCTGATCCATTCTTACCTCTATGGTCATCTCATGCTTCATTCTCCTCCATGTACTCTGTGATCTGGTGATATTGACCTTCTTGCTGTTCCTCAAACACAGCACCCCATCTACCGAATCCATACCCTTGCCTTGGTTATCCCCCATGCTTAGAATGTTTCCCTTCCTCACCTCCATCTCTTAGCTTCCCAGGCTTCCTTCAAGCCTCGGCTCCAATCCTACCTTCTACAAGAGGCTTTCCCTGTCTCCCATCCCTTACCCTTTCCTCAGTGCCTTCCTTATGAGATTACTTTCCATTTATGCTATATGTGTGTATATGTATATGTACATGTATATATACATGTATATATAATATTTTATATATATGTACACACTCAGTTGCTCAAATATTGTCTCTCCCCCCCCCCCGTTAGATTGTGAACTCCCTGAGGGCAGGAACTGTTTTTGCCTTTCTTTTGTATCCCCAGAATTTAGCACCATAGTAAGGTCACCTAGCAAGGGCTTAACTAATAGTTTATTGCTTGACCAAAAAAAAATCACAACCTAATTTAGACTATAAAAACCCAGGCTGAGAGGTAGTGGGAAATAAAACAAATCTTGGAAAGGCAGAAGGAAAAAACTTTTGAAATGCTAGAGCCGTTAGAGGCTCAGTGTGATTATGGACAGCTAACTAGGTTCTCATTTGCTCCATGGGGTGCCAACACGCCATCAAAGGCTATTTTAAGTGTGTGCTGCCATGCTTTAGATCTTGAACAAGGAAGTGAGAGTTCTCCAGTGTAGAGTTGTTGAGAATATGCCAGGAATTTGGAGGTTATTTTGTAGCATAAATGTTCCTTTTAAGATTGGCAAGAGAAAAAAATTATTTATGAGGAAACAGGGGGCCTCAGCTAGAGGACAATTAGGGATTAGGGAATATGCCAAGGTTTACAGATAATTGAATCATGTGTATAAACACCAAGGAGGAGAGAGAGCTATTAATGTCCATCAGATCTATTGTTAGATTGTGGTGTGACCTTGCAGGGGAAGTGATGGAAGACATCTTCACTTGGAAAAGATAAATTTGACTGAACCAGATGTGAGAAAGTATGTCGTGACATAAGAGGCCACATTTGTCCCTTAGATAGATAGATGACATAGAATCAGAAAAAAAAATTTCAAAGCCCAGAGTGGACTAGAAATGGTATCGTCCGGTTCTATCATTGTGCACATGAGGAAGCTATAGCTCAGAGAACACAGCCAGTTGCAAGCAGAGCCAGGGCTAAAAACTGTCTTCTGACACTCAGGTCCATTGAGATTTCCATTGTACCACACTAGCCACCTGTCTTTTAGAAAGACTAGAACATCAAACTTTAGGGGGTTGCTTTTGCAAGCTAAAACATGGAGACAAATAAGACAAAACTATTTGTTAACACTTGAGCTCAGTCCTCACTTGATATTGGGAAGAGTGGGTTATTTTAGCATGATTTTCCATGAGAGGGATGAGGTATCCCTCAGTTTACATAGAAGATGGCAGGGTAGGCAGGGGTAGCCCAGGAGGGAATTCTTCTATAAAATAGTCTATGTAGCTATTTTTCTCAGTGGTTTTCCAAATGGTATGCATGCTTTTGAGGTATGCCTATGTTGATCTTCCTGTCTTCTGCCCCCTCTCTCCCCCATCCTCCACTCTCCCCCTGTCCCCCACCCTTCTTGGTGGTAAAGTTCTGATCTTGTTAGTCATGAGACTAGGATTGGACACCTTACAGGGAAGGGTTCTTAACCTGGGGTCTGTGAGCTTTTTTTTTTTTTTTTTTAAATATTTTTATAACTATTGTTCAGTTGTTTTTCAGTTGTGTCTGACTCTGTGTCCCCATTTGGGGTTTTCTTGGTAGAGAAACTAAGTGGTTTGCCATTTCCTTCTCCAGCTCATTTTACAAATGAGGAAACCAAGGCAAACAGCTAAATGATTTGCCCAGGGTTACACAGCTAGTGTCTGAAGCCAGATTTGAACACACGAAGATGAGTCTTCCTGACTTCAGGCTTGGCACTGATGTTGTACCACTTAGCTGCCTATATTTTAATATAGTTGGTTTCCTTTGTGATCCTATGTATTTTATTTTGTTCATTTATCTGAGAAGGGATCTATAGGCTTTACCAGACTTAAAGCAAGGTCTGTGACACACAAAAAAAGTTCAGAACCTTTGGATTAGGTGAAAGGGGAAGCTGGCAGGTTAAGGGGCATCTACATCTTACTAATGCCTTCTTGGGCTTCAAGGAGAAAAGTGAGTCTAATAGTTATCAGAATTAAGCTACAAATTAATTCAGCACCCCCAACTCTTCTCCTTATTGAATTCATCTCCTTGGCTTTGATTTCAGCCATGAGGCATACATACTGCATTGAATTCTGTGTCATTAACCCTGTTGTCTTTCTTTTCAGAAATCATGAGGTCCAATGGATTTTGTTTAGCAAACACTGAGACAATAGTTATTGACCACAGTATACCAAATGGAAAAGACAATCACTTGGACGTGGATTCAACAGAACATTTGTAAGTATTTTGTTTTGAATTTTGGTTGTATAGAAAAAGCAATGTCATCCTTGATTAACTTTAGGGTGATTCGGTTCAACAAACATTTATGAGGCCTCTGACGTGTGCGTCATAGTGCTAGGGATAGAAAAATAAAAACAAATAATAGCAGAGCAGTGTGTTCTTTTCCATGGGTCTGGAATGTTCTCTCCCCTCTGCTAAATCCCTATCCATCATTTAAAACCTTTCCCACGGTGGTGCAATGGTCAGAGTGCTGAGCCTGGAGTCAAGAAGACCTGAGTTCAAATCTAGACACATACTCATTAGTTGTGTGACCCTGGGCAAGTCACTTAACCTCTGCCTGCCTCAATTTCCTCATCTGCAAAAGAGGGATACTATTATTTACCTTTCAGTGTTGTTTTGAGGCTCAAATGAGATAATATTTATAAAGTACTTTGCAAACTTTAAAGTGCCATAAAAATGCTAGTTATCATCATTGTTGTCGTTATCATCATTATGCCCTTCTCCAGGTTCCCTTGTTGTCAAACAGCATTCCTTTTGTGACACGCTTCTTTAATTCATGTTGTCATGCAATAATGTATATGAAGCTACTTGTGTTTATATCTTCTTCTCCTACTAAATTATAATCTCGAGGGTAAGAACTATTTCCTAACTAAACTCTGTGTCTCCTCCAACATCTAGAAAAATGGTTTGATCATAGCAGGTATTTAATGTTCATTTTGTTTGTTGAATTAATGGGTGAATTTAAAAAAATTACATAGTTCATGCTCTAAAGAAGCTTATAAGGATGGATTTTTCTTTTTTTTGGAATATATTTTTATTGATATCTTTTTTTTTACATCATCTAGATTTTTCCCTGATTTCCATCTTAAAGAAAAATAGAAGAAAAAAGTCACTAAAATCAATCAACACATTGAAAAAAAATTTGTGTTATATACAGTGTTCCTGTCTATAGATTCCACCTCTGCAAAGGAGAGGTGTAAATTGAGAGATACCTTATATTTCTTCTTTGGGAGTAAGCTTGTTCTTTGTAATTTTGCATCATTCTTTTTTTATTGTGGTGGTTCTTTACATTTACATTGTTTTTAGTCAATACATTTTTCTTTTTCCCGGCCCTGCTTGCTTCATTTTGCATCAGTTTGTATAAGTCTTTTCATGATTCTCTATGCTTTATTTGCTTATTGTGTCTTATAGCACAGTAATATTTAAGGATGGCTTTTTCATGCCCACAAGGAAATTTGAGTTCAAGCACTACACTGGAGGATGAGGAAGACCAAAACTGTTTAGACACTTTATAGAGTATTAACATTGGGAGGGATCTCAGAGCCTGTATGGTCTAATTCTTGTCTAGAGCATGAAACTTTTGGATCACATCTCTTCTCTTCTCCATGCTAGGAAGCCTACAGTTGATCCAGTGGCATGTCTTGGAGTCCTTTCACCATCTTGGTTGCCTCCTTCTATCCTCAATTACTAAGGGGTCCTAGAAACTGTAATAATATTTGAACATTGACCCTGCGGTGTTCTCTGTACACTTGAGGGTCCTTACTGTTATCAGACAAGTCCTTTCCCATCAATGGTTTGAGCACCAAAATTACTTTCTCCACCCAATCCTTAAACTTACAAGGTTTCTTCCTCAACAAGTTGAAAGCAGAGATATTTGACATGACTGTCAGAGATTGTGTGAATTCAGAGACTTAGGAACCCTGCAGAAACAGAAAGAGAAGGCAAAGGCTTTGCTATTACATGATAGAGCTGGTCTTTGTTTTGTTTGGGGGAAACGCTAGATGTTAAAAATACAGCCACCCCACATGTATCAAATATTTATAGCAGCATTTTTTATTGTGGCAAAGAACTGTGTTGATAAAAGTAGATGCCTGTTGATAAGGGAATGGCCAACTCAATTGTGGTATATGAACATAATGGAATATCACTGTGTCACAAGAAATAACAATTTTGATCAAGCATGAAAAGACTTACATGAACTGATACAAAGAGAGTATGCTAAGCCAATTAAACAATATGCACAATGATGACGACAATGTAAATTCAAAGGACACCAAACACAAAGCAATTGAAACTGAATGTTGGGGGCAGCTAGGTGGTGCAGTGGATAGAGCACCAGCCCTGATGTCAGGAGGACCTGAGTTCAAATCCGGCCTCAGACTAAACACTTGACACTTACTAGCTGTGTGACCCTGGGCAAGTCACTTAACCCCAACTGCCTGAAAAAAAAAAAGAAACTGAATGTTGCAAAATTATAAAGAATAAGTCTGACCCCAAAGATTAGGAGACACTTTACTCCACTATTTTGCAGAAGTATGTGTGTGTTTGGGGATGGAGTGGAATAGATGTCAAACACTGCATATGTTGTCAGGATTTTTCAATATGTTGATAGTTTTGCTAATTTTTTCTCTTTATTTTTAATTTTAAAAAGTCTTTGATATCTGGGATTGTTCTCTGGGAAGGGAGGAGAGCATGAGAGATTCAGAGAGAAATTTAGGCTATGTAAAAAACAAAGCATATCAATAAAATTTTTATTTAAAAAAAGTACAGAAGACCTCTTGGGGAGAAGGAGGTAGAAAACCAGCCTTCATGATTCTTTTCTGAATAGTCCTCCGCCCAAAAGTCTGAGTATTCGTAATTCAAGTGAACATTTAAAAGGAATATTGTCCATAAACTCCTACCTGCCCTTTCAGCAGGAGCATTTCTCTGATATATGGAATCCAGGGAAGAACTGCTGTTCTGACCTTGGGGAACAAGTCTGTTTATTAATTTCAGACAAGTTGCCAGTCAGAGGGCAAAGAGTAGGGATGGAGAGAGGTGATGTTTTGGTTTATCGGAGGTTTTGCCCCTCAGGCTGTCTCTCTACATTAAAGTTTGTCCTCAACTCCACTAAGGTTTAACCACTTGGCCTTGTGCCCATGAATCAGATGATAGTAGGCACATTGCTAGGACATGAGGTTGAGTTTATTTCTGATGGTGTTGTTTGCGTGGTGTCACAGCGTAAAGACAGTGGGTGCCTGAGACTTTAACTAACAATAACCCAACATGAAATGATTGTGTTCTATTGGAAAGGTACTGTGAGCCTGTGAAAGAACAGAAAAACAGCACCGACCATCCCTCTCTTTGCCATGGTTGACTGAAAGAGGCACCAAACCCCGAACCTCAGGGCAAAAATTGAGTAGGTCATTCTAGCCTCCTCACACAGGTTTTAAGAGCAGAGGTATTTGACATGACTGTCAGAGGTCATGTGAATTCAGTAGTAAAAGCCATGACCTCAGCATGCTGACTCATTTTCCCAGGGTTTCCTTCCTTCCTTCCTTCCTTCTTTATCACTCCTAGACAGGATTAATTCATCCTGTGGAATGAGGGAGGTGCGGCACATGAATAGGAAAATATTCAGCAGGAGATTTTGCACCTTGGCAGATGCTTTCTCCATGTCATTTTCAAGTTCAAAGGTTTGTTCCAAGCCACGGTGAATATAGCATGTTTTCATAAAGGCAAAAGCAAGCTGGTTCTTGGGTTTATTTAATTTTTTCTCACCAAATGATAATACCTAGCATTTATAAAGCACTTTTAAAGTTTGGAAAATGCTTTGCAAATATTATCTCATTTTATTCTGACTACAACCTTGGGAGGTAGGGGCTATTCTTATTATCCCCATTTTACAAATAAGGAAGGTGGACAGAGATTAAGTGACTTGCCTAAGGTAAGTGTCTGAGGGGGGGATTATAAACTCAAGGCTTCTTATGACAAAGAGTACCTATAAATTCAATCACTCTTTTAAATGAATTTGTATTTTATTAATCATAACAAATGTATACGTGCAAAATAGTAACATATATGCTTAAGGCATTGTTTATTCAGTCCACAGAAGGTATGCTTTCTTGGTTATTGTACTGAGTCATACTTCTTATGTTGTTGGAACTATATAAAATACAGGATGACCATTTGGGCTACATATGGATTTATGGACTCTTTGCAATAACTTTCTGCCCCTCCTAGGGCCTCTCTGCCCACAGGTTGGGAACCATTGCTCTATGAGACTGGTTTGCCCAAGAAATAGTGGCATACATCTTTTCCACCTAAACTAGAGTTTCTGTAGAGTTATAGTGGCAATCAGGTCAGTTGGAAACTGGGTCTTTTCTACTGCTGTGCAACATGATCTGTGAGCCCTGTTTTCAAATCTCATCTGCCAGTAAGTCTAATGAAGCTCACCAGGCATTTCCAGTTATTCCTCTCTTCTATAGTGTGTTTTGTTTAGCCTTGCTTCTTCCTTTCAAAACATTTTAAAAGCTATATATACACCATTCTTCTTCTAATAAATAGCTTTTGTCCCACCTACTAGAATTTTGATCAAGGGTCTACTCAAAAGAAGAGATTTGGACACTGCAATTTTTGTGGAGGAGTAAAACATCAGATCCCTAATTCTCTCTTTGCAGTGTGTCTGAAATGGGGGCTACTTCTTATATCTGATACATGTTACCTTCACTTATTCTCCAGGCCAGCTTTTTAAAAAAAGGCTTGGAATTAGTTGTAGATTTTAAAAGATCTGGATTGGTTGTACATCAGTGTAGTATGGTGGAAACAGTACTTTATGTGGAGTCAGAAAATCTGAGTTCAAATCCTGGTCTCACCAGGTCATCACCTCTGTGACTTTGGGTAAGTCATATATCTTATCTGGGCCAAAGTTTATTTACAAGTATAAAAAATGAGACAGTTAAAATGGATGACCTCCAAAATCTCTTCCAGATCTAAAACTATGCTCCTAGTTATTTTTGGCTTTAGAAGGCCATTTTTAGGTTGGAAGGGGAATTGGTGTCATGAAGCATTAAGAGCTGTTACTAAGGCTAGAAGGATACATTTAACCAAGGTGTACATTTGAGTAGCTTTTGTTGCTTTTTATAAACGTGGGCACTTACTAGAACTATTTTCCTGGAACACATTTCCTTGAAAGGGCTATTGTCCAGGGATCCCAACTGAAGTAACAGGTATCACTTATGAGTGTCTTTCCATAGAGTTCTTTGAATTTTGTCCATTTAACTTTGTATCTCTCCCCTTCCTTCTTGCTACTTAAGTACTTATGGATAGGTTCTCACCCCCACGTTGTTTTTTGTTTTGTTTTTTGGTTTTAGGTTTGAGAATGGCAGTGAGTTTACCTCAGAGCTAGAAGACAGTGAAGACCCAGCAGCCTATGTCACCAACCTGTCCTACTATCACCTGGTCCCTTTTGAGACGGACATTTTGGACTGACCTTCCAGTAGACCATTCACCTACCTTCTGGCCTTTTATTACTGACTTATGCTGCTGTTCCATAGCTGCCAACCACTTAAATTAAAAGGTGGTCATCTAATCCCAGATTTGACATGATGCCTGCAATGAAATCAGTTCTATGGCTCAGATTGTCAGTGGGTCTCCAGGCCCTTCTTAAGGTACAAGTTTTTGGAAGACAGTGGAAACAGGGGAAGAGAACTCACATCCAGGTGGATTCTGGTATGAGGGAAGGGTATATGGCAAAGTTTGTAGCAGCCTCGGAAGCCTCAGGACCACCTATATGACTGACTGTAGTCAAAGAATCCTTATGGAAATTCCTTTTCCTTTCAGTAAAACCAGCCTGTTTTTTTCATTTCCTGGGGAGCCTACACGTCACACCTGGTGCAATGGATAACCACCCAGTGCCTACAGGGGAGACATACTGTAAGGGCAATGACTCCATTTAGCTCTGACAGGTCTATACTCTATTGTTTCCTGAAGAGGAGCGTCCCACTTTCTCCTCTTTCTTTAAAGTGCCCTGGGCATCCCCTTCCTGACCCTGTTCTCCTCCACCCTCACACATACCTGTGACTCACATGTCAAGTTTAGAAAATACTTGGAATAAGATTGTGAACCATTGCCCAGTTCTGAAGACAGGAAGGGAAAGTGAGTCAGCCAGCCAGGCCATGAGTAGCTACAGGATTTCCCTGGGAACCAGGATGTGTATTGTGGTCGTTGTTTTCAGCTCACATCTGGACAAGTGGGCTCTACTAAGACTTGCTCTTATTGTTGTTCCTGGAGGATAATCACCAATGGGTAATGTCATCTGCAGCACAAGGGGAGACCTTTGAGGATCAGACTTCTCCCTGGATAAGCTCAGACTGATTTAATGATAGGCTTTGGGAGATCAGGCCAAAAGGAAAAGAGTCTGTTCTGGGCTAACAGCTCTTCAATGTAGGAGTAATGAGTGTCTTTATTACCACCCAGCAGTCAGAGGTTTGACCTCACTTGCTGTTCCTCAAGTATTTAATGAAATAATTACCATGCTTAATCTGAAAGGATGGGAAACAGGAAGAAAGCTATTTGTGAGTTGGTTACCTCTCCAGTGGTGGTTTCCTTAGCCTGGGAGCACCCCTCGGTGCTTTGCCTTACATTCTCCCAACAAACTTTCCATTGCTAAGTGTCTACTAACCACAAACATTTGCTAATGTAAATAATAATAAATTATTGAGAGTCCTAATTCTTTTACACAGTCTGTTTTAAAATCTATTTTAATGAAATAAAATATATTACTCTCCTTAAGTCTATTTAAGATGGCTCTGTTTCAAAATGCTTCTTTTTTTCTCCCCCTTTATGTGTATATTCATGAGAGAATCAGTGGCCAGAGTGAAGAGGGGTCTACACCTTCTGGATCCCTGTTGTGCATCCTTCTTTTTCTGTGTTGTAGGAAATGTACATGTTCTCAGAACCTCCTGCCCCTCAGGTGTGATCTGTGGACCTTACAAAACCAATAAACATAATGGATTTTGGAGTTTGGCTTTCTCTTCCTCTTCTCCCCTCCCCTATTTCAGATTCTGGAGAGAGCTAATTGGTCCCTATTCTTCTCTGAGAGAAGAGAACTCAGGCTATGTACATGGAAAAGGTTTTTGGCTTACCATTTAAGTCCAGATATGACCAGCCTGTTGACCACCTACTTGGAGTTGGCCAGAATTCTGAAAGAAAAATATCCTGGTATCGAGAATAAGTTGTACCTCAAGGGCACTTGAACCTTCTGGATCAAAATCAATGGGCAGCTGATGTTTTCTAAGCCAGAGAAAGGAGGGGGATTTCCCTATGAAAAGGATGTCATTGAGGTTATTTGATTAGCCAGTAGTGGAGAACCCCTGGAAAAAATTGCCAATAGCCTTTGCCCCTGTGTCATCCCATGACCCTGCCAGGTCTCATTGCCCTCTTATGGTAGGACTTCCTCCCTATACCCTTCTGTTCTGGATTTCCCTTCCATATTGGGATCCTCTCCATCTTAGCAAGGTCCTTCCTCATTAGAGACCAGGATGAGAGAGTCCATCTCATTGACCAGGCATTGGTTCACCCTAATAACCCTCTAAGTGATTATCACCTCTCTCCCCACCCTTTCTGTGCTGAGATTCTCACCAACTTCTTGGTGAAGCCAGGAGGCAAGGGCTTCTGAGATTCTAGGTACAAGCCTGGCTGCTACTTCCCTAGATAGAGGATGATTCAGTCCAAGCTCAAGGGGAAGAACTACCTCCCCCTCATCCCACCCTCTACCCCTCAGTATCATCTACAAATGCATGCTCACACGTAGTACCTAAAAGAAACCTGCACCCTCCCTCACCTGGCACTGCCAATGTGATGCCATCAAATTTTATTTCCCTCACACATATAATACACACCTCTTACCCTGAGGGAAACACCAACTGTTGGCAATAAAGGAGCACTGCTTTAAAAAAAAAAGATTCTTTATGAAACATAAGGGATCACAATCACCTTTCATGCCCTATTCTCATTATCAAGTGCTCCAAAGGGAACATTTTCCAACTCTTTAGATAGTCTTAGGACATTCTTCTTTGCTTGCCAAGTTGGTTTTTTTTTTTTTTTTTGCTGTTTTTGTTTTTTAAGATATTTAAAAATTTTCTTTTCAAATAAAAACTTTTTCTCCTTCCACTTTTCACCCCACTGCATTGGGGGAAAAAAAGGACAAAACCAAATCCTGGTAACAAATATGCATAATAAGCAAAAACAAATCCCTAAAACATGTCTCATTCTTCATCCTAAGTCTATTACCTGACTTGACTTATCTGTTTATTTTATTCTATTTTTTTGTGTGACATAATTGGGATTAAGTGACTTGCCCAGGGTCTCACACAGTAAGTATTAAGTGTCTGAGGCTGGATTTGAACTTAGGTCTTCCTGACTCCAAGGCCAGAGCTCTATTCACTGTGCCACCTAGCTGCCCCAAGCTATCTGTTAAAAGGTGGGTAGCATGCTTCATCATTGTTCCCTCTGGAATCATGTTTGGTTGTGGAGTTGATCAGAGTTCTTAAGTCTTTCAAAGTTGTTTGATTTTACATCATTGTATAAATTGTTCTAGTTTTGTTCTCTTTACTCTGTATCAATGCTTCCAAGTTCTCCTAGGTTTCTCTGAAGTTGTCCCTTTCATCAGAGACAAATAATTTCTGGATCCTTTTTTAAAATTTCACTCCTTTCCCATTGACCTTTTTCCCCTTCTCTCTAGAAACTTCTTTTGTACCAAAAGAACTATAGTTAAGGCAAACAAATGAACAGATTAGCCAGGCTCGACAACAATGCCTCTATTCACACCTGTAGTCAACCAGCTCTCTGCCAGAGTTGTGATCAATCAATCAGTAAATATTTTTAGGCCCCTCTGTGTTCTAGGTACTGTGCTAAGCCCTGGGGATATAAAAAGAAAGGCAAAAGGTAGTCCTGCTCTCATGGTGCTCACATAAAAACAAGCGATAAAGGGAGAGGGGAAGGGCAAGAAGTCTTGGAAAGGGTACATGGTGCAGAGTCAGGGGCATGGAACTGGTGGGAAACGAAGAGATGGCTGGTCTGGGAGCCCATCTGAAATGGAGATTCTGTTTTTCATCCTGGAAGGAGGAACACCAGGGGCAGAGATGTAAATGGTATGAGTTCTAGGTTTGACATGATCTTGTAGTCTAGAAGAGGACAGCCAGGTCCTGATGACTAGATGATGAATAGACAGGTGTACCTCAAATAGATACACTTTACACAGTAGATGTATCTCTGAAAAGGTTATTCATAAATGGGATTTTGGCAATCTACATGATTTTAAATGCACTTAGGGGAACTCACTGTTTAAAGCAGTAGTGTCAAACTCTAATAGAAACAGGGCCACTAAATCATACATAAGATTCCCTCCATTGCCACATATTGACTTATAAAACCACATATTAACATTACATATGCTTTATTGTATTTTTATTTATTTTGTTAAATATTTCTCAATTACATTTTTATCTGTTTGGAGCAGTGTTTGACACCTCTGATTTAAAAGAACCTTTACCTTTGTTAGACAAAGAATCATTTTGTGAATTAAGTAATTGTTGCTCATTTATTTATTTATTTATTTATTTTTTAGTTTCCTATATTAGATTATATATGTGAGTTATAAACTAGGGCAGCTTCTCTGATTCCTACATATCATAGTGATAACCACTAGTCCCTTAGCTAAGTGTCCCCCTTTTGGTCCCACTATTCTCTTTGAGACTAATCAGTGAGCTGAAAGCTGCTTTCATAATTTATATTTCAAATCATATTTATAAATATATTTATAAATTTATAATTCATATTAGTTATAATTCATCTAATTACACTTCAATTAATTATATAACTAATTTATGATATTACATATTTATAACATATGATGTATAATTTATAAATATATTTAAATTTTATTGGGGTGATTGACACTGTTAAGCACACACCTTTGAAAACATGTTCAATTTGTTTATACTCATGTAGTTGTCAAGAAACAAGCATTTATTAAACACCTCCTTTTTCAGCAAATGTGTTAAGTAGCATAGAGGTCTGTTATCCTTTCCACATTGTGACTTTCCCCATAGCTGTTTCAATATATCCCCAGTCAGCATGAGAAATTAAACGGAAATTTTGGGGGAGTTTTGTGGAAGCTGTGGACGACATACAAAGGCCAGCAGATGACACAGAACCTATGACCAAATACTTAACCCACATTTTACAATATGGTACTGTTAACATCCCATAAAAGAAAAAGAAAAAAATTTAGACTTCTTCTCTGGTACAAAGGGAGGGCCAAAAAATTTTACACGGATTTTCCAGATTGTAGGGGCAGTGTGCTCCTAGCCCTTGTGATGTAGAAGGGAAAACTATTATCAAAACCCCAAAAGAGGTCACTAAGAGTTGGACATGACTGAAAAATGACTGAACATTATCTAGTAAGTTGTGATGTGACCTCCATTTTCTCATTCCAGATCCATAATGTGGAACCTTATTTATTATGTCTGTTTTAGAAGGTACCTTAAGCCTATTTTTAATAGGAAATCTTGACTATAAGTCTTTTTAAAAGTGTTTTTATTGATGCTTTGTGGTTTTTTACATCACCATCACTCTCCAGTGATACTCTCCACACCCATAACTTGTGCCTTGTAACAACAACAACAACAAAAACCAGTTAAGGAAAACAAACTGATACATCTGCCGATGACTATAAATCCTGGCTTCTTTTTCTGTCCTAGGTCAGGTTACTTTGCTATGCCACCTGTTCCTCAGAATTCTATTCCATCCATATTGATTGGGTTCCTTTAATCTACTGTGGCTGGTTTAGTAGGTCATTCAATATGTATGACTTTTATCTCCTGTGGGCATTAAAAAGGAAATCAAGTACCATTTCTCCAGTCCCAAGCTCTTTCAATGACTAAAGCTTGCAAATAGATAAGGACAATAAACTTTTCAAAAAAGATACTGTCTTAGCATCTTGCATTGTCCAGTAAACAGTGTGATTCTTTAGAATAAGGCCACCAGCCTCCATCTGATCTGTATTGCTTGAGCATCCTTAAGTATGGATGAATGACACTTACTTAACAAGGTCACCTGATAATCTTGTTTAGAAGCTCTCCCCCTTGGATGTTTTTTTTTTTTCTTATTAATAGAATGTTATGAGTGAAATAGTCAGGTGAATTAATGATGATCTAATGCTCTCCTCTCCTTGGAAGGGCTGAGCAGAGGGTGCATAGTGACCTCTGTTTGGGGGTGCCCCAAGATGTCAGTGACGCCTGGTGCAGTGCTGTCCATACAGCACCTTTGCTGCCATTTACTGGTTACCTAACAAATATGAAGGCAAGAAGACTTGCACTGTGTTCACTTTGTGCCAGGCGCTGTGAGGGATATAAGAGAGGTACAAGATAGTGCTCCTGTAATCCAGGATTTTACAAATTGTAGTTGTGATAGGGAATAAGTATTTGTTAAAGCTATCTGCCAGGCACTGTATTAAGCACTTTACAAATGTTATTTTGTTTGATCTTCACAACAACCATGGGATATAGGTGTTGTTATTATCCTCATTTTATGGTTGAGGAAACTGAAGCAGAGGTTAAGTGACTAGCCCAGGGTCACACAGCTACTAAGTATCTGAGGCTAGATTTGAACTTGGAGGCTTTACCATCTCACTGCCTCTTACAGTAGCAAGATGCAATAATGCTATGGATAGAGCTACAGTACTTTGACTTAGTAGCAGGGAGAGCTTGCTTTGAACCCTTCCACAGATACCTTATTGAC